AAACGAATTTGGGACTTGGATAAAAGAAAATGAAAAAAAGAAGATTTTTATAATTCCGCCATCATCATATAAAAAATAATTACTAAATTATAAATATATGGGCAATCATCTTATATTAATGTTAGTACCTAATTTTAATCTGATTTCACTTGCATTTAATTATTCATGTGACTATTAAATTAGAGCAATTAAATAAAAGTAAATCAGCAATTAAGATTGAATGAAAATTTACACGGGTATAAATTAATTATTTCCCAATATATGACTTAAACCATATATTTTGATAATTAAGTGTAAACCATGCTTTTATTGGATATTTCCCTTATTTTCCATGTATTCTTTATTAACTCATGATGACGAACATCATAGCAAGTACAGCACTATGTTTAGCAAAATCCAACAACCACAACTTGGAGGGTGATTCAGCAAAAAACCACTATATGTGCAAATTGCTCTCGTGTTTGGAATGTTTAAAAATTAAAAATATTTTGATTTAAAGATTAAATTTTATGAGAATTATTACAAAAAATTGAATATTACGTGTTTTTCTCATTGAAAATAGAATTAAAATGGTTAATAAGGGTTGATTATAAAAAAAATGGTTAATAAGGGTGAAATGGTTAATTTATATAACTAAATTTAAAATAAAATAAAATATTACTAAATCCTATTAAATTTGGTGAAACTTAAAAAACAAGAGGGAGTCTTGCTTTTGGGTCAACAAAGTTCAGCGCGTTTCTTTCGCAGAATATACAAAATAAACACAATAGATAGCATAGTATCTACTCCAAGTCACTCGCGCAAACTTTCTTATTTTAGGTAACTTTAGGTTTTTGTGGAATAAGAGGGAGTCAAAGTTGAGCTTTATAGAAAGCTGTGGACGGAAAATATTGGCCAGTGGATAATGGATAAACAAGATTTATAGTAAGACTAAGAAGTATCATCATTCATCAGGGGAATAAATGGTCAATTTAAAATTTAAAAAATAAATGTTTTTTATTTTATCTCTCAAATTATTATTTTCTCCTTTTTATCGTAAAACATTTTCAGGATACTTATCATAAATTGTTTTTGTTTAATTTAATTACTTAAAAAAATTTAAATCATGAAACAATTACAGGCTTTACGTGAAAGGGAAGAATTTACCAAAAAAGAGAGAGGGAAGAAACCAAGGCTTTGTGCGATGGGGGACTTGTTTTAAGATTGGAATTATTTTACATTTATGTAATTAAAATTATGTAAAATAATGAAAGAATAATCTAAATAAATAATATCATAGCTTTAGATAAAAAAAAATTATTCAATATATATATATATATATATATATATATATATATATATTATGATCAGATACTAAATCGATGTTTTTGTTGTAAATAATAAATTGATGTTGGAATTGACTAAAAGTTTATTATAATTTATAACGAGTTGAGTTAGATATTTCTCAACTTTCACGTGTAACTGCTTTTCCATTAAAACTGTTACTCGTAAGGAATTTCATTAAGTGACTTATTTTTTTTTTAGTAAATATTAATTAAGTGACTTATTGACCATGACTTATTGTGCAATTGCTTGAATAGTTCGTCGGAGACTTATATTCAAGATCGTTTTCCATTCTCATAAGAGATCTTCAATATATTATATATTACATCTATGTAATCATATTCAAGAGTCGATCGAGACACATGCACGTAAAAACTTAGCAACCAATATTTTGAAAATCTATGCAGCAGCTTCTCATTCTTTTAAGTATTAGACTAAGGAAAAAATGTTTGTCTTTTAAAATGATATAATTTATATAATTTTACTCTCACAAAGAGTGAGACCCACACCTTTTTTTTTTGTCCACTCTCTTTTCTCTTTTATTTATCTCTTTCTCTCACTTAAAATAACACAACTTTACATCCTTTTAAATGGCATACGCTTTTTCCTTAAGCGAAGAATAACAGTCATATAATATCATATCTTAACTCAAGAACTTCAAACATTACATTTTCTTACTTGATCCATTTTTTAAGAAACTTCGCCTACTCTCATTTTTATTCTTAAATTAACGGTTGAAGTTTTTTTTTTTAAATACGGTTGAAGCTCTTGGCACGCTGATATCTAATTTATTAATTAATTAACTCCGATTATTTATATATGATTCGTTACGAAAAAAATATCATGATATTGATGAACTTTTAATTAATTTCATAACATTAATTAGCTGCGGATATTTCATTGCATTGAGTGAAGAATACGACCTTTACGAGCATATATAATCAGTATTAATTGCATTTGCACGTGGTATAGGTGGCAACTGGCAACTACCTCGAAAATCAACTGTGTCGTAGGCTAAGCGGAACATGGAATCTCACTTGCTACAGAGTACAGAGTCGTTTATTTCCTTGCATAATTATAAAATTGGTGTTTCTATCTTGTTATATTATTGAATTGGTGGTCAGCGTTCAAAGCGGGTGGCTGATACTTAAAATGGCAAGCCACACCACACCAGGCCAAAGCAGCGTGTACGTACCCGCTGCTCCGACAGCTCCGTCCGTGATTAACACTGCTTTTCGATATTCACACCCTTTATTCTTAATTTCACACTCCTTTTTTTTTCCAAAACAAGCTTCACGTTTGGGCTTTTATTTACTCATTTTGTCATGACACATAACCCATAATTTCGAGGATTCTTCTTAAAAAAGAGAGTAGATATATATATCACTTGATTTTAAAACATGCATGTCACATGATATGATCTTTATGTGACATTAGTTATTTTTATTTTATTTTATTTTTTAAAAAAATATAGTTGGTGTAATATCATAAAGTGAAATACCATAAATTTAAACTAGCATAAAATGTAAAAATTATTTAAACTGGAAAAAATAACCATTATATAAGGATATGCATTTTTTATCAGTTGACATTTTGGAGCTAGTCCTACACCTAAAAGCAAAATCTGCACCGTTTTTATAAAAACAAAACAAGAAGATTGTTAATTATTTTTTAAAAAAAAAACTAGTTATTTTAACTGTGTATTGCAGTAACTGTTTAAATTGAATATTTGTAATTATGATTTTTTTATTTAATAGATAAATATCTAATCTATGTTTGAATTAATTTATTCTGCTTTAATAAAAATTATAGTTAAAATATTTCAAAAACAATTGTTTAGTTAAGTGTGTTATACATATACTTATGATCTCATAAAATATAATAAAGACAATCAATTTAAAAATTCAACAATTATATGATGATATTCTTTTATTACAATATTTAGATGCACTTTCTAACTTTATATATATTATTTGAACAAAAATGAAATTATAATTTTTAACATGTTATTTAATTTGTTATGACTTTAAAAAATATTTATAGTTGTCACTTTTTATCTTCTTTATTTTATAAAAAAATTTTAACTAAATTTTAATTATATTTTGATATTTTTTATTTAAAGGCATATTGTTCAAACCAACTTTTAATTTATATGTTATTTTATATGTATTTGTAAAAAAAAAAAATATCTTATGCGAATATTATTAGTTTAAAGCAAAATAAAAAAGTATTATTCTAAAATGTACATAAATTAAAAAAATATAATATTATTAAGGTGTTTTGATACTTTCACATTATTTTATATAAAATATGATTAACGTAATTAAAAAAAAAGAAAAGTATTTGTCATTTTAAATGATTTAAAGTTATGTCATTTTAAGAGAGATAGACACAACATAATATTTTTATTTAAAAATTAAATTAAAAAAACACTCACTTTCTTTCTCATGATTTTCATTTCTTGTGTCTATCTCTCTCCTAAAATGACAAACATCAAACCCAAAAAAATTTACATTGTGTTTTAAGTGATCAAATTAATTAAATGAATTATTAATAAATTTATAACTAAACTGTAAGAAATTAGTAGTTAATTTAATGTAATGTTGAGTTAATAATATACATATGTTGATCAGTAATACGATCCATCGACTATTCAATCTGTCCAGAGCAAAGAGCTTGTCTGCTATTGTGGTATATACCTATAAAATGATTGGATATAATATACTTAAAATAAGAAATTAATAACTATCCATACCGTTGTTTAATGCTTGACTTTATGGATACATGTTCACATAGATAAATATTTACTTTTAAAATAATATTATAATTTAATGTCTAAAAAATATACTCGTCATTAATTTGATCTTTCTTAAATTCCATATTCTTCCAACTAAATAATAAAAATAAATTACGTGTAAATTAGACTTCAAGAAGAGAATAAAATATAATGAATTTAAAATTTTAAAAATTAAATTGATAAACTTAATTTTGAAGAGATTAAATTGATAGATAGTTATTCATTCTATTATTTATCACCCACCAAAGAGTTAAGATTAGGGGAGAAGTAGAAATATTTGAAACATTTTATTTCGGTGTTATCACATGTTTAGACCGGATACTACTATTGTTTGATATAAATAGTGAATAAAAAAACAACCTGTTGAATAAGTATACGTGATTAAATTTTGTTTGGTGTGCCTGCCAAGTAGAAGTTGAAAGATGAGTGAGTGACAAATGACAATGATAGAGTTAAAAAAGCAAGTGGACTTAAAATTTTAAATAGATAAGCATGAGGGAGGCTTGTAGTTAAATCACGTTGGGGCTTCATCCTTCCACTTTCTCACCAACTACCTCTTTTTTGTTTGGTCAATTCCGCGACACAGCACCCAGCTACCAGGGAACTCCAATACGGCGTTCCTAGAATTCCACGTTGCATGATCGTAGCCGCTCGATGAAGAGTAATAATCACACGGCCCTAATTAATTTTCAACCAACCCCCTTGTGCTCCTTGTGGCCCGCTGCCAGCCCACCTACCAAACACCAAAGCTTAACTTTAGAATAATTAAATAATAATTCTAAGTTTCCAAACACAAAATTCTATATAAATACGCCTAATAGCTCTTCCTTCACCTCTCAGGAAATCCACAATTCCCCAAAGATTTCCTTTTCTTTTTTATAATCTCTCTCTCTCAAAACTTGAGCGCCATTTTACTTTGCATTTTTCTTATATTTCCTACATACATATATATTAGCACAGGGATATTATATATTATTAATATTGTAATAGTTGTTTTTGTTATTATTAAGATGGAACAAACCACCGTGACCAATGGCAACCACCAAAGCCAAAATGGTTCATTTTGCTTGACTAGCTCTATTGCTACTAAAGGCAGCGACCCACTTAACTGGGGTTTGGCTGCTGAGTCACTCAAGGGGAGCCACCTCGATGAGGTGAAGCGAATGGTGGCGGAGTATCGGAAGCCGGTGGTCCGGCTAGGCGGCGAGACACTCACGATCTCCCAGGTGGCTGCTATCGCCGCCCACGACCACGGCGTGAGGGTGGAGCTTTCGGAATCGGCGAGGGCTGGCGTTAAGGCCAGCAGTGACTGGGTTATGGATAGCATGAACAACGGCACTGACAGCTATGGCGTCACCACAGGGTTCGGTGCCACCTCACACCGCCGAACCAAACAAGGTGGTGCTTTGCAGAAAGAGCTCATCAGGTAAAGCAACTCAACACAATACGAGACATATTTACGTACATGCCTTCCCATCTTTTCATGTGTCGGATGCTGCTGGGTTACCTAAATTAACTAATTCATATATGATTACCACCTAATCATGGTTTACAGAACTTTAAATATATTAATCATTCATTTATTTTATTAATTGATAAAATATATTAATTTATATTATAGCATATTAAGATATTTTATAAAAGGAATTTTTTAATAATTAAAATATTAAAAAAATCAACACACAAAGTATTGGTTTCTTTAAATAAGTGATATACTTAAATTAACACGTACTTGATATAAATTTATATACATTGTCAGTAAATAAGAAGTGTTATATCATTCTTATTTTTTCTAAAATAAAAATTGTTCTTTCTTATAATTCAGTAATAAAACATTTTTTTGTTTTGACACAAGAGTATCGAATTTTTTACATTAGTAAAGATAATAACATGTTAGGTTTTCCAGAGGAAGGGTACTGAGTGGACTGAGTCAACAAGTTAGTGGGTTGAACTTTACGAGGGCTTGGTGACTGGTCACTTCCGTCATATACCATGCTAACTACTAAATATGTTAGGTCATTTTCTAATTTTGTTTTATTATATTTCAAGTTTGACTGCTCTTAGAAATTCCTTACCTACCTAATACCGAAAACAGAATAGCAATTATTACACAAGTATTTATTTAATTTTTTAGAATTTAAAAAGTATAACTTTTTAAATAGTTATTACGACGGTGAATTTTTTTTATACAATAATAATATATAATTCAGTGATAATTTAAATTTTTTAATGTTTACAATATGAAAAAATTAAATCCTTTTTACACCACAAAGTTTATTTAAGATACAAAATTTTATGTTTTTATTTATGAACACCTCGTTTACTCTTCCGATTTATCATAATTCATTTCTATTTTAGTGTTTTAAAATAATTATTATAAACATATGCAACTTGCTTTCTCCAAGATAAATTTAGTTTATGATTAACATTTAAAACGAAAAATTCCTAATTCTTGTTCATATTCTTTCAGGTTTTTGAACGCTGGAATATTTGGCAACGGAACAGAGTCATGCCACACACTGCCACACTCTGCAACTAAAGCAGCCATGCTAGTGAGAATAAACACACTTCTCCAAGGGTACTCAGGCATTAGATTTGAAATCTTAGAAGCCATCACCAAGTTCCTCAACAACAACGTTACCCCATGTTTACCACTTCGTGGTACAATCACAGCTTCTGGAGATTTAGTTCCTCTTTCTTACATAGCTGGTTTGCTAACTGGCCGACCTAACTCCAAAGCTGTTGGACCCTCTGGAGAGGTACTTAATGCCAAGGAAGCTTTCCAATTGGCTGGCATCAATTCTGAGTTCTTTGAATTACAGCCCAAGGAAGGTCTTGCTCTTGTTAATGGCACCGCCGTTGGTTCTGGCTTAGCTTCTGTGGTTCTCTTTGAGGCAAACATTCTCGCTGTCTTGTCTGAAGTTCTTTCTGCTATTTTTGCCGAAGTGATGAATGGCAAACCTGAATTCACTGACCATTTGACTCACAAGCTAAAGCACCACCCTGGTCAAATTGAAGCTGCTGCTATTATGGAGCACATTTTGGATGGAAGTTCCTACATGAAAGCTGCTAAGAAGTTGCATGAGATGGATCCTTTGCAAAAGCCAAAACAAGATCGATATGCCCTTAGAACTTCCCCACAATGGCTTGGTCCTCTTATTGAAGTGATTCGTTTCTCAACCAAGTCAATTGAGAGAGAGATTAACTCTGTGAATGACAACCCTTTGATTGATGTTTCCAGGAATAAGGCCTTGCATGGTGGTAACTTCCAAGGAACCCCTATTGGAGTCTCCATGGACAACACTCGTTTGGCTCTTGCATCAATTGGCAAACTCATGTTTGCTCAATTCTCTGAGCTTGTCAATGATTTTTACAACAATGGGTTGCCTTCAAATCTCTCTGCTGGTAGAAATCCCAGCTTGGATTATGGTTTCAAGGGAGCTGAAATTGCCATGGCTTCTTATTGCTCTGAACTCCAATATCTTGCAAATCCAGTAACAAGCCATGTCCAAAGTGCTGAGCAGCACAACCAAGACGTTAACTCTTTGGGTTTGATTTCGTCTAGAAAAACAAACGAAGCTATTGACATTCTCAAGCTCATGTCTTCCACGTTCTTGATTGCACTTTGCCAAGCAATTGACTTGAGGCATTTGGAGGAGAATTTGAAAAACTCGGTCAAGAACACTGTGAGCCAAGTTTCCAAGAGGACTCTCACCACCGGTGTCAATGGAGAACTTCATCCTTCAAGATTTTGTGAAAAGGATTTGCTGAAGGTGGTTGATAGGGAGGATGTATTTACATATATTGATGACACCTGCAGTGCTACATACCCACTGTTGCAAAAGCTCAGGCAAGTGCTTGTGGATCATGCATTAGTAAATGCTGAAAACGAGAGTAACTTGAACACGTCAATCTTTCAAAAGATTACAACTTTTGAGGAAGAGTTGAAGAATCTGTTGCCAAAGGAGGTTGAAAGTGCAAGGGCTGCATATGAGAGTGGGAATCCAGCAATTCCAAACAAGATCAATGAATGCAGATCATACCCACTATACAAGTTTGTGAGAGAGGAGTTGGGGGCTGCGTTGCTAACTGGAGAAAAGGTAATTTCACCAGGTGAGGAGTGTGACAAACTGTTCACAGCAATATGCCAGGGTAAAATCATTGATCCACTTCTGGAATGCCTTGGGGAGTGGAACGGTGCTCCTCTTCCAATTTGTTAATTTTACCACTTTCTCTTGAAAATGTTTTCTTTGTATTTATGCAAGTGCTGCGATAATCATTTGATTTGCCAAGCTTTAGCAAATTAATATGGTGAGCTTGTAATTTAATATTGTAATAGAATTTCAGTTGTTTGTCATTTCCATCATATAATACATGCCCTATTTGTAAAAAAAAAAATTAAAAATTCTTGAAATTCCTTCCCGATTTCCGAGTAAGTAGGCGATAGTAAAATTGATTATTCTACTACCCAAATGCTAGTTTTTTTTACAATAAACATGATATATTAATACGCTTTTCAAAAATTGAGATAATTACTTTTCTTGTGGTTACTTTAATAGCTATGATACAACTTGAAAAAGGGTATTCTAATATATTATAGAATTGTAAATAATCTGTACAAAGGGTTCTCTATTTATAGAGAATATTTGACCTACTTTTAACCTAATGGGTTTGGCCCAATACAACAAAGGGCTTGGCCCAATACAACAATAAATGACTAAATAAAAACTAAATAATAACTAAATCAATATTATTTACAACACTCCCCCTCAAGCTGAGGAATAAATATTTATCATTCCCAGCTTGCTAGTAAGTTCTTGAAATCTGTCTGAAGGAAGCCCCTTTGTTAATAGATCAGCCAATTGACGCCCAGTGGGAATGTATGGAGTGGTAATCAACCCGCTATCAAGTTTCTCTTTGATGAAATGGCGGTCAACCTCAATATGTTTAGTCCGATCAAGTTGAACTGGATTATGAGCTATACAAATAGCGGACTTATTATCACATAGCAGCTTCATAGGTCCCTCACATTTTATTTTGAGATCATCAAGAACAATTTTCAGCCACAGTAACTCACAAATGCCTTGAGCCATAGCTCGAAATTCAGCTTCTGCACTTGATCTGGCAACCACATCTTGTTTCTTACTTCTCCATGTCACCAAGTTACCGCAAAGAAACATGCAATAACCAGTGGTAGAACGACGGTCAGTCACGGATCCAGCATAATCAGCATCTGTGTAGACTTCTAAAGATAGATTGCCATCACGTCGGAATAACAATCCTTTACCAGGAGTACCTTTAAGATACTGAAGAATTCTCTCTACTGCCTGCATGTGTTTTTCTTTTGGATCGTGCATAAACTGACTAACACTAACAGCATAAGCTAGGTCTGGTCTAGTATGGGCCAGATATATCAATTTCCCAACTAGCCGTTGATATTGTCCTTTATCAACTGGAGGACTCTCTTCTTCATAGCCCATCTTGTGATTCTGCTCAATAGGAGTATTAGAGGGTTTACACCCGAGCTTTCCTGCTTCTTTGAGAAGATCAAGAACATATTTCCTCTGGCTGATAAAAATTCCTTTGCTTGAATGAGCTACTTCTATCCCTAGGAAATATCTCAGTTTCCCAAGGTCTTTGATTTCAAACTCAGAGGCAAGCCGTGTTTGCAGAATCTGTCTCTCCACAAAATCATCACCTGTGATAATAATATCATCAACATATATAAGGAGCACAGTAAGCTTCCCATTTTGGGAGTGCTTAAAGAAAAGAGTGTGATCTCCTTGGCTCTGTCTGTATCCTAAGGTCATCATAACCTTAGTAAATCTTCCAAACCAAGCACGAGGTGACTGCTTCAATCCATACAAGGCCTTTTTTAATCTACAAACTTTATTTTCCCCCTTCACAGAATCAAAACCAGGCGGGATTTCCATGTAGACTTCTTCTTCTAACTCACCATTGAGGAAAGCATTTTTCACATCAAATTGATTTATATCCCAATTGTAATGGGCAGCAAGGGATAACAAGATTCTCACTGTATTCATCTTTGCAACTGGAGCAAAGGTTTCTTCATAATCAATGCCATAGGTTTGAGTGTAACCTTTGGCCACTAATCGAGCCTTATATCTCTCAAGAGTGCCATCAAAATTATATTTCAGGGTATAAACCCATCTGCACCCTACTGCTTTCTTTCCGTTGGGTCTATCAATAACCTCCCATGTTTTATTTTTCTCCAAAGCATTCATCTCCTCTTGCATGGCTTGAGCCCAATTCCTATCTTTCAAGGCTTCATGTACTGATTTTGGGATTGCAATAGAATCTAGTGCTGAAACAAAGCTTTTGTGCTGCACAGAAAGATTAGCAGAGGAAACAAAGTGGGAGATAGGGTATTGAGTACAAGAGGGACAGGAGGAACAAGTTTTCTTGTGACAAGATCTTTTTCCTTTTCTAAGAGCAATAGGTAAGTCATCAGAAGTAGAAGCAATGGGTAAGTCGTTAGAGATATCAGAAGAAATAGACAAATCATGAGAGGAAATAATATTAGAATCAGAAACAGGAGATTCAGAAGAAATAGGAGATTCAGGACTTACCAGTGGTTCAGACGATTGAGGTTGCTGGTGAGACAGTATGGGTTGTATCTCAGGTGTATTTGAAGGTTCTGACACACCAGGAGCAGACACACTAGGAAGAGAGAAGATTGATCCAGACTCAAAGAAGGAAGGGGACGAGTCTTCTGAAGAACTATTCTCTCCCTGACGATGAGGACCCAGGAAATAAGATTCAGATTCTTGAAAGGTGACATCCATAGAAACAAAAAATTTCCGACTTGGTGGATGATAACACTTGTACCCTTTTTTATAAGGGTTATAACCAAGGAAGACACACTTAAGAGCCCTAGGATCCAACTTACTCCGATGTTGTTTATGAACATGGACAAAGGCAACACATCCAAACACTCTTGGTGGAAGGCTCTGCAATATGGGAACAGAAGGAAAGAAGGAAGTCATGGAATGAATAGGACTGATATTGTTAAGGACCCGTGAAGGTAAACGGTTGATCAAAAAAGTTGCAGCTAATACTGCTTCTCCCCAATAAGAACTAGGAACAGATGTCTGAAAAAGTAGTGCTCTAGCAACTTCAAGAAGGTGACGATTTTTCCTTTCAGCAACCCCGTTTTGTTGAGGGGTATCAACACATGTGAGCTCATGAATCATACCTCTGTCTAAAATGAATTGTGACAGGCGTTGATTGACGTACTCAGTACCATTATCAGATCTGAGTCTTTTAATACCCTTACCAAACTGAGTCTCAACCATGTGATTAAACCGAATAAATATCTCTGGTACTTCAGACTTGTCTTTCATCAAGTATATCCATGTTATCCGAGTACAATCGTCAATAAAAGAAACAAACCACCTAGCACCTGAAACACTGTGCACTTTAGAAGGGCCCCAAACATCAGAATGGATAAGAGAAAAAGGTTCTCTGCTTTTAATAGTGCTAGAAGGAAATGACACTCGATGGTGTTTTGCAAATTCACAAACATCACAATGAAAGGTCTCAACCGACTTATTGAGAAACAGAGAGGGGAACATAGACTTCAAAAGACTAAATGGTGGATGCCCGAGACGCTTGTGATGGAGCCAAATCATAGACTCTGCAGTAGAAGGATGACGTGTCATTAATAACTGATTTTTGCTAGCATGGTCTGGAAGGAGATGATACAACCCATCCTGTTCATTAGCAACTCCAATTGTCTTCTTCGTGGTAAGATCCTGAATAAGACAATGAGAAGGAAAAAATGTGATAGAACAATTCAAATTAGTTGTAAGTTTTTGAGTGGAGATAAGATTAGTAGAAAGCTGAGGAACATAAAGAACATTTTTAAGAAACAAGGAAGGTTGAATTTGAATGTTACCAGAACCAATAACTGATTTATGGGATCCATCAGCTACAGATATAGTATGACTACCAACAGTAGGATGATAAGAACAAAATAACTCAGTACGACAAGCCATATGATCAGTTGCACCAGAATCCAAAATCCATGAGGTTTTAAAATCAGTGCAAGAAGCAAGAAGAGATATAGAACGTGTGCTCTTACCAGATAAGATCGAAGAACTATCATGCTCAGCCATTCTTTAACAAAAAAAGTTAACAACCAGCGATAAAATCAACCAAACAGAATATCAAATGACCTCTGATCAGAAAAATAATTATAGATCCAGACAGAAGACAAGAAGACGAGAAGAATGGTGGTGGTCCGGTCCAAAAACACGGCCGCACGCGCCTCCACGCGCCGGAGAAAGGAGCTGCGCGTGGGATTCACTCGCCGGGAAAGGGGCGGCGCGTGAGAGCGCGTGGATGGGCTTCGCCGGCTGAGATTTTTCTGGTGTGGTCGTCCGGTGAGCGCACACCTGTCTGTGGGTGGTCGCGGTTGAAAAGTCGCCGGAAAGTGGTCCAAACGGTGAAGACAGATCTGATTGGAGGCGATCGGAGGTGTTTCGGTCGTTTGTGGCGGAGGAACACTGCGTAGAATGATAGATCGGAGGAAAAATAAGGTCAACAATGGTCCCCTTGGTCCAAAAGGTCCCCGAAAAAATTTTCCGGTGGCGGCTAATGGTGGCAAGAGGCAAAGAAATTAGGGTTTTGTTAAAAAAGAAGATAATATGTGCGGAAGCAAAGCTCTCAGATCGAGAGCTCTGATACCAACTTGAAAAATGGTATTCTAATATATTATAGAATTGTAAATAATCTGTACAAAAGGGTTCTCTATTTATAGAGAATATTTGACCTACTTTTAACCTAATGGGCTTGGCCCAATACAACAAAGGGCTTGGCCCAATACAACAATAAATGACTACATAAAAACTAAATAATAACTAAATCAATATTATTTACAACAATACATCATTTAAAAAAAGAAAGAAGAAAGACTTTCTATTAATATCAATTAAAAAAAGTTTGATATTTTCAGCGAATCAATGTACAATAATAAAAAAATAAATAAGAGAAATAATTTTGATGCGTGAGAGGGATATGGCTTGTGAGGTTTAGAGACTAAGCTTGGGGGGACGTTTCTCTTCCACTTTAATCCGTGCGACTCTTTTCACCGGCCACTGTATTGGTCTCGAGATCGCCGATTCTGTAAAAGAGGTTGGCCTTTCTGAATTCTCTGTTTCATCAAATGAATCTTTCTATCTATGTTCATAATAATTGACTTTGAAATGTGAATTAATAATTGGGTATTCAGAGAGGTTAAAGTTCTAATATAATGGGAAGAGCTCAATATTGGACCTTGAATTTTATTCGGGAATCCTAATATTAACTTCTATTTTGAATTAATTTTAGTGTTCTCGTGAGGTTGCAGAAAA